AGTTCAAACAGGGAGTGTTCAGGGTGTGACAAATCCTGCAGAATGTTCTTTGCTTTTTTCAAGCATCGAGAACCATACAATTCCTCCAGGAACGGGCGAGGGCAGCCAATAATCTTCTGGGCTGTGGTGATAACTCTCTGGAGTGCTTTCCTATCCACAGCCGTACAACTGGCAAACCAGGCACAGACGCAGTATGTTAAAATGCTCTCTATTGAGCAACGATAGAAGGACATCAGTATTTTCTCACTCAAGTTATTTTTTGAGGGCAGCCAATAATCTTCTGGGCTGTGGTGATAACTCTCTGGAGTGCTTTCCTATCCACAGCCGTACAACTGGCAAACCAGGCACAGACGCAGTATGTTAAAATGCTCTCTATTGAGCAACGATAGAAGGACATCAGTATTTTCTCACTCAAGTTATTTTTCTTTAAAAGTCTGCCAGTCAGGGATCCCTGCCATTCAGGGATCTTTCTTCAGTCTTAGCTATAATCACCCAGTATTTAAGCATCTCGACTCAAAACGGCCCTTCCTGACAACCCCCACCCCCATAAGTAATGGTTGAGAAGGTTATGTTCCACTGTATTTCGAGGAAGTGTGCATGCATACAAAAGCTTATGCCATGAATAAAACTTTGTTGGTCTTCAAGGTGCCCCACTGGACTCAAACGTTGTTCTGCTGTTTCAGACCAACATGGCTACCCCCACCTGAACCTGTCTTAATTAGGTAAAGTGACTCAGCTGAACCCCATTAGCCGAAGGACAATTAATTAGATCACATAACAGAGCTTGTGAACAGCCACTCATCCAGCTGCCTGGGGTGAGCAAGAACGTCCGCAGGTGACCACACAATGAAGTTTTTGAGAAACAGAAGAGAGGTAGTATTAGTGGCTTTCAGGTTATTCATGTGTTTGTAACAGAGGTGTATAACACAGGTACACCTTGGCCGACAAGCTAGTAAAAATGGTCTGTGGGCTAGTAACTTCTGTGACCATATTCACAGAGTGCCTATAAACTCGTGACCACATGGTCACACACGAAGCTGCCTTATACTGAATCAGACCCTTGATCCACCAAGGTCAGTATTGTCTACTCAGACTGATAACAGCTCTCCAGGGTCTCTCAGGTAAAAGTCCTTCACATCAGTTACTCCCTTGCTGAAACCTGCTGTATTACATCTGCCCATGTCAAGAGATACTATCTCTTCTTTTGTGACTCTTAATACTGCTGGAACCTTATAAACGAATGTATGATTTTGCCATCTTATAAGTGGTTTTAAGTCATTTATTGTGATAATCTGTTTTCTGTAAAATCTCTTCTTGTTACCCGCTCGGAGCCTGCTTGCGGGGAGGGCGGGATATAAATCAAACAAAGGCCCCGTTCAGACGGAGAAGTTGCCACACTAAAGACACGGATGATAGGTGGATTTTCAGTGTGCGATCACACCGCAACATCTGGGAAGCGTAGTACACCCGAGGCTAACCCGTGGCTTCTCGCCGAAGATGCGGAGTAAAAAACTACCACATACAATGTACTAGTTTCCGGAAAATGCGGGGCAAGGGCGGGCGTCTGATCGAGTTTCCGCTTGAATCCCGTGGCATCTGGCGCCCATCCATGTCCCGTGGCACACCGGAATTTTTTTTTCTGTAAGTCTCCGCAGGATGCACACAAACGATCATGCGCATGTGCAAACTTCGGTGAGGAAAAAAAATCCCATTTGCCACAGAAGCGGCGCCTAGCGATTGCCAGTGTGATCGCGCCGCTTCTTTGCCCGTTGCAGGATAGCCGTGTGATCGGCACCTAATGGTCTAATCACGGGACCTTGATGGGACATGTGATTGGGCTGCCGCACGTTACTTTGCTTCGGGGCAAACAGCCACGCTTCCCTCCCACATTTTCTGGCCCATGTGACGGGGACCAAAATAAAAATAAATACTGCCAGATCCTTTTAACTGAATTGAACCTCCTCTCCCCTCCCCTCCCCGCTGACTATTTCCCAGCATCTGACAATTGCAAGCATTCTGCCTCTGAGCCCAAAGATCCCATTCAGCCACCACGGCTGACAGTCAGAGACAGCAGGACCCTCTATAAAGTTGTCCATTCACTTTTTAACGCCACCTAAGCCAATGGCTATCCCCCCATCTTGGGGCAGTGAGTTCCACAAGACCAACTCCTCATTGTGCAACATCATCCCAGGTTTAAGAATTAGGCAATTATTATCATGTGCTTTCAAAACAACCTCTGCCCAGTGAGATTAGGTCTAAAAAGTGTCACAGGTGCTCTGAAGCAACAGGACCATTTCCTCACCTTTGCAGACCTTCTCGTCATCTGCAGGCTCAAAGCCGGCCCGGCAGGCACACCTCCCGATGGCCACCATCCACTCGCCTTCACCGTTGCAATGCAACCGCACCCCAGAGGAGCCGGCGGTGCTCGCTTCCTCCGCGTCGGCCACGCAAGTCCCTAGCGCCTCCACCAACGACGTCCTTTCCCCTCCAGCAAAGGTCTCTGGGAAGGAGGCAAACCCCTTCACCACGGCTGGGCACTTGTAAAAGAAGACCTGGACAGCCACCAGGGACATGCAGGCCCCCGAGTCTTGGAAGGCTAAGTAGAACCCTGACTTGGAGAGCGGCCCGAAGCTGCGCACCTTCACGTTCATCTTCACCACCTTCCCGGTGCTGTCCACCTGCGAGAAGCTCTCGTCGGCCGCAATTGTATCCACTTTGGTCCACGGTCCCTCGCGCCACTCAGGGTGCTCCGGAGTGGCCACATCTGTCTCCGCTTCATGATAGTAAAGGGTGAAGGTCTCCTTGCAGGAAGAGGCCACGTTCCTCATGCTGGCACAGTCACGCACAGAAAAGCGGAGGCGGATGTGGACCCGGCGGGCGCCTCGGCGCTCTATGAAGTGCGTGCGGAGCCAGTTGTTCTGGCCCGGATCCCCAACGTTGCACACCTCAAAGGTACGGATCAGGCGCTTCTTGTCATCCAGTACGCTCACCTCATCCCACTTGTGGAGTTGATGGTGGAGAGGGCATACGAAGAAAAACAAACGGAAGATAAATTCATTAGGGGGGGTCATGTTTGGATACAGTGGGGAACGGCACTATTTGCTTAGAATATTGACCCCCCCACTTTATTAGCTTGTTTTATTTACTTCATTGACACCCTTTATTTGTCCTGAATGGGGACATAAAGTGGTTTATATCCTCCATTTTAATACCCTATGAGGTAGGTCAGGCTGAGAGTGGGTGACTGGCCCAGCGAATTTTTCATGGCTGAGAGTGGGTGACTGGCCCAGCGAATTTTTCCTGGCTGAGAGTGGGTGACAGGGCCAGCG